CAGAATGAACGTTAGTGTTTTTCCTATAACAACAAATGAGCCCCTAACAGTTCTGACAGAACTGTAACCACTGAAAGTGACAGAAAGGCAGACAGCACTATTTGAAATCACCTGTCCAAAAAAAGTGCCAAAATTCACCTGGAATTTCAATGGGAAGGAGTTGAAGCAGGGCGATAAGTACAAGATCATCACATCTGATGATGGATTGACTTACACTTTGAAAATGAAGGATGTTCTGTCCAGGGGCCTTGGGGAAATCGGTACTGAGGCTGGAGATCTAGTACAGAAAGCTCTACCCTTAAGATCAGCTTCACTGAGCTTAAGTAATGCAGGGAAAGCATCTTTAGGCGAATCAGACACAGAATATTAGGGTTTGAGCTGCAAAATCCATAGAGCTAAAACACAAAGCCCCAGAGCTTGGGCTGAAAGGACTGGAAGCTTTTAACAATAGCCCTCATAAAGCTACTCTGTGGGCCTACAAGGAGAGGGGCGCCAAGACTTCATTTTCATTCTGGAAGTGAAGTCCCAAGCATGGAGTCCCTCCTGCAGGGGAGCCCATGTTACACCCTGCAGAGGCGAAGCCTCCTGCTTTCATTTCTAAGGTGCTTACTGGTATGTGCCATTTCTGGTTGCCCCAACTCCTTCCCATGCTCCTTTCCCAAGGGATTCCCATTAAGTTCATCACCAATCTCAAGAATTTCCAAAGGAAAGAGAAGAGAGAAGCCTGCCTGGAGTGTGAGCTGACTTTTAAAGACATCACCCTGAACTGGATGAAGAATGGTCAGGTGACTGGGAGATCTCCTAAATATACCATGAACCATGAACGGAAGAGAGCAGCGCTTATGACTGGGAGGTCTCCTAAATATACCATGAACGGAAGAGAGCAGCGCTTATCATTGATGTTGCTGAGCTGAGTGACTCAGGAGATTACACAGTGATTGCTATGCAAGATGATGATCCTAATGAGTATTACGGCAATGCCAGTGTAACTGTGGAAGGTAAGTGTGATTGGCTCATGGAAAGAAAATGAGGAGGAATAGTAGTTGTTAACGCTGTTCCTCATTGCAGAGAAGCCGTGCTGCTTTGCTGTTACAGCCAGGGACCTGATGTGAGGTAACACTGCTCTGCAGTGTATTTATTGTTTAGCATGGATACCCCTCTTTGTAGCATGGAAATAACAGTTAAGGACTTTCCATTGCTGCAAAAAGTGATAGAAGCAGAAAGCAGTAAATCTTCTATTTAAGTCCTTGCACCTACCACCTAAACCAGTCTAGTCATGTTTTTTACTTTAATCATAGTTGTCATTATGAATTCTTATCCTGATTCTTTAAAGTGACTGATGGGACATTTGACTACAGCCTGCTGAGGATCAGCAGCACAGTGTGAGGCTGTTAGTATAATAAATATTTAATATCACATTTGTTGCATGAACTAATTTTGCAGTGGCATTATTGATGCTGTAAACTTGTATCTAGGTACTCTATAGGAAGACATAGGGCTGTCCAGAGGGAAAAGAAAGTCAGTAAGCTTAGCATCATGCTCTCAGCACAGGTCAGAGAAAAATTTTAAAGTTATGGTGTGGATTTTAGTGGCTATTATTATTTAAGATGACTTCTGTTAGATGTTGACCAGCTTTGAAGTATGCTCAGGTGCCTACCACGAAAAATACAGCATTTTAAGACCATTTTAGAATGAGTGGCTTCGAAAGTGCATGAGATAATATTAGCTTTTCCTCCACAGGTTCAGTAAAAAATGAATGTTCAGTTTGTAGGATGGAACAGAGGAAACTCTGGGGGCTAAAAGCAGCTTAGTGGTGAGAAGGTCAGGCTCTGCCTTACATGGAGGATTGAGCTGCTCTGGTGCCCATCCCTGCAATCTGTCTCTGTGAGGCTGACCTCTTCCTATGCCCATGCATTTTGTGTGCCAGACAATGTCCCATGAACCCTGTCCCGGCCTGTACAGGCTTGGGTGGAGGTCATTGTGTTAGTTGTATTTTGGCCATGTATTTCTCATTTTTGTTTTCCCACAAAGGCCAGCAGAAAGGAGCAGTTTCCTAGCAGTATCCCTAGCCTTGGGCTTTCCAGATGTGCAGCCTGGAAAAGTTTGGACCTGGGGTTTAGTGTGGCTGAGTATGGGCAGGGAAGCCCTGGCTCCCAGCAGATGGGTATTAAGCCTTGTATGCGAGTGCCCTGTGTGGGCCATGGCCAGGATGGCCTGAAGGGACAGCGTGGGGAAGGCACCTTCTCTGATCTCCCCTCTGGGGAGGAAACAGTTTCTGTGGCTTAGGAAACCTGGAAAGCCAGGGTGGTGCTGCCTCTTCCTGCAGTGGTCCACAGGGCTCCCACTGACTCCTGTGCACAGGGGAACAGTAATCTGGTGTTTCAGTTACAGGATTCTCTTTCAGCTGTGTAGAGTTCAAGTGTTAAGACAAATATTACATAGGCAGTAGGGGAAGCGTTCAGATGGTTTGGTGGTTCATCTGGACCAGCTAATGATCTGGAGCACTGCCAAGAAGCTCTTTTCTGCTTTGGCTTTTGAGTTCCTAGAGCTGCTATCCCTCCACTGGACACCCATAAAGAAGGGTAAAAACTACTTAAGAACAGTGTTTCTTCTTCCACCCTTCTTCCCATGATATCCAACTCCCCAACCGGAGGTAAGGGCTTGTGTGGTGAAGGCTTATGCCTTTTTGTTAGGAGGTCCCCCCTGCCATTAAATACCTCCTTGATGTTTATAAGTCATTCTACACAGTGTTTCTGTTCACATGCTTCCACTGGGATTTCTTTCAGGGAGATTTGCCACCATAAAAAGTGGTATGTCCAATGTTCATGCTCCAACTGGGGATCCTGCTGAGCTCTGTGTTGTCCTGAATGATGAGAAGGTGGAGGGAGTATGGCTCAAGGGTGACAAAGAAGTAAAACACCCATAGTATTGTCAGTATAATGAAAGGTTGCAAAACCCTAGAGGGAGGGTTTCCTGAATAGCTCGAGTGGGATTTGGCCTGCTCTTGGTAAAGAGCTTTTTACTAAGGGCAGGCAGATCGACAAGAACTGGTCCAATCCTTCTTAGGCTAATGCAATCTTAGTCCTACTAAGTTTTAGCTTTGGATGTTGGCTTGTTCAGAATTTCCCTTCCTAGTCTCCTGTCAAGATGCTTTCCACATGTGCTAACCTGTTTTCTCAGCATGTGGTCTCTCATTCTTTCCTGCAAGGTTGGCTTCTCGCTATCCACCCTTCTCCCTCTCTCAGTCTCTGATTTTTAGGGGCATCAGCAAACGTATCCTTTGCATGCTGGTGCACACCCCTTGTTACATGCCACGTAGCTCTTCTAGGCTGATGCACAAATGACCCACTCTGTGTAACCCTCTGAAATTGTTTTGTCCATAGATCACAAGATGCTTTGCCAGAGTAGGAGCTAGAAACGCTGACACCTTTGTTGTCTTAGAGCAGGAAACTCTTATCAGGGGATTCAGGGATAGGGTGGGAGATGGTGCTTGTTGCAATGCGGGTTGTTTCCTGGCTCATCGTCTTTTCAGATTAGGGACATAAAAGAGTTCCAGATAGTGAAGCAGGGAGCTGTCCACAAGCTCACCACTGAAAAACAGGAGAGGAGCATGAAGGGAGGCAACTATTCAGAGCCAAGGGGACAGAGAGTGAGGCAACAGTTGCCATTGCAGGTAGCCACCCGTTCTCCTTAGGCCGTTTAGTGGTGATACACTTCCATTTGCAGAATCAGTGCTTCAACAGGTCTCCTCGCCTACGTCTGCACCATTTTATAGGTCTGTCCACCTGCACGAGGAAAGCTTTGTCTTTCTCCTTCGTCATTATTCAAGGGGAGAGAATTGAACATTCATACTGGCTGATTTTAAGTGACTAAGCCTAGGTTTCTATGTTTACAAATCAGTGATTGAGAATGTTGGCCTGAGACTTTACTTCCAACATTGTTGTCATGAGCAAGAAGAAGAAACATTTCTCTGAAATTATATATAGATACATAAATATGTATAGTGCTTAGCTCTTGACAGCCAGATGGCGCCAGATGGACTTTCAGACTCATCTGTAGCATGGAAATGAGCCTCTTTCTGTCTGTCCACTGAATCAAGGCAACATGGATAGGTACTGCTGCCTAGACAGCAAGACAAATGCAGCAGTAAGAACCACTCATTTGGGATGCTGTGGCTGCAGCACTGCATATAGATTTACTCTGTGTAAAAATCCATCCACAGTAAACTTTCACAGAATGGTTGATTTTCTTGCCTTCAAAAATATTTTTGACAGCCTTCTATGAAGATTTTTATGAAGATTATCATTTACAAACATACCATTGCATGACAAAAATAAAAGGAAAAACACCAAAAACATCTAGAAACCTGACTATTTTTCTTTCTTACCTGCAGGAAATCCTTAGCATTTTCCTATATTACTCTGTAACAAGAGGGAGAGTTTTCTTTACAAACAGTACCAACTTCATCACAATGATATATATCCAAATGTGGCTTTGGGGAAGAGCAGCACAAAGTGCTTCCTCTCATGCCTTGCAAAGCTTAGAAACTGTCTGGAATCAAATCTTCAGGCCCTGGGGATTTGAAGAGATTTTTGGGCCTGCCTTTTCCCAGAGGTCATTCTGCTACTGAGTTGAGCAATTAAAGGAGGCCAGCCAGCTCCCTGTGCAAAAAACAGAACTGAACTGTCTGAATCAAAACACACTGAAGACTTTCACAAAATACAGAATTCTGATATTAAAAACATCAAGGAGTACATGTGGGGCCCAGCTCTAGACCACCTTTGCAGGGAACTCACAAACACATTGTGAATGTCAAGCTGTATTTGCAGCTGCAGCTTTCAGGTGTCTTCTGTTCTTTCCAGATCCTCATGTTACTGAAGAACCTGTCTGGGAACTTTCTGCTGCATATGCCGTTACTATGAAGGCTGGGCATACAGCAAGCATCAAGTTGCCTTTCAAGGCAGAGCCAATGCCCAAAATCGTGTGGTTCAAAGATGGTATTGAGGTGACAGAGAAAGCGGTAATGGAGAAAGCCAGTGACTGTGCGTTACTCACAATCAAAAACTGTGTGACAGAAAACACTAGAGCCCATATTCTGAAGCTGGAAAGTGGCTGTGGCTCCCATTCTACCAGTCTTTACCTCTATGTTGTTGGTAGGTCCTAAATTAATCATTTTATAGCAGGTCAATCATTGGTTGATATACTGGGTTTTAGATGGTGTAATCTAGACTTTCCCTTAAAAAATCTTGCAGTGGGACAGACAGTGATTTATCAAATCAAATAATTCAGTTTAGCTTTGCTGTAATCCATAGAACTACACTGATTTACACTATGAGAGGATATGACCCTCTAAATAACAACCCTCCATGTCACTTTGGCTATTTTCTTATACTGCAGAAAAACCAAACCCCCCACAGGGGAAAGCAGAGTTCCTGGAACACACAGAAAATGCATTCAAATGAAATGGAAAGCACCTAAAGACAATGGAGGAAAGTGGGTGACTCACTTCATTGAGAGGAGGAATGCTGGGAAAAAATCTTGGATCAAAGTAGGGGAGGTGGGGAGCAAGTACACCATGTTTGCTACAGATCAGGTGAAGGAAGGGAAAGCCTACCAATTCAGAATCCTTGCTGTCAACTCTGAGGACCTCAGTGTACCACTGGAAACAGAAGAAGTATTTGCTGGAGAACCGGTTGGTAAGCACATGAGCATCTCAGGCCATCTATTTTTAATGTAATTTTACAGTCCAGCTTCCCAGCATTTACGTCTTCTTCTGCCGTGCCAGTCCCCAAAAGAACACTGTCCCCTGTGCTTCAGGGGACAGATTCCAAGGACAGGAGCTTAGAAGCTGCTTCGTGCTCGGGCTGATATCCAGGATCAAACAAATAGCCAGGTTCTTTCACTGCAAGTGTTTGTGGACTTAGAAACCCCTCGACATGGACTGACCACGAGAGAGGACTGACTAACACACTGTTCTAGTGTCAGTTACATAAGCTCAGTAGAATACTGCAGATATGAAAAGTGCCTTTCTCTGGAAAATATTGTGGGGGAGGAGAGAAGATTATGAAAAAGTGAATGCTTAAAAACATTTTGTTTTGCAGCCAAAAAAGAAAACATGTCAGCCAAAAGCTAACTTGGTTAGAAAACACTACTCAACTATGTCCTGAAAGTTGAAGTTTGGGTACCTCTTGTTCTCATTTTTCCTTTATGGACTAATGAAATTATTTTTCCCAGGATTCAGAGCCCCATTTCTCCAAGACAAGAGTGTATCACAGCAGATAGAGTCCAAACAGACAATCTGGCCTATTGAAGCATTTGAGAAATAAAATTTCCTAACTGAAGCAATATATGTCAGTTGTCACCTAAAACTTTACATATTTTCATTTTTGTCCAAACTTCCTACAGATTAAAGAAGGTGTTTCTGAGCAGGTCTGTGCTGCGTTGCAGCCAGGGTTCATTTCTGGCATAAACAAAAGTCAAGGAATTCTGACCCCACTATACTAAATTGATTTTCATCTGTGTAGGCCCTCCTGGACAGGCGTCTCAGCCTCAAGTTGCAGATGTCAGTAAAGAAGCTGTCACTATCACTGAACTCCCCAGCCCAGGATGGCAGCTCCCCAGTGCAAGGTTACATCGTAGAAAGAAGGAAGAAGGGCATCAACCTTTGGGTCCTGGTAACCAAGGAGCCCGTCCAAAGTCAGGCCAAGATTGTTACCCATTTTACAAGGAAGAAGGAAAGCTGGAGAGGCTTTGGATGCAAAGCTGAATATCAATTAATCAAGGAAATGCCATCATGGCATCCAAGAGCACCAGCAAGATTACACATTTTGATATACACTATCTAAAGTGAAAAGCTGAAAAGTCCACTTCTCTAACCTGAAATTGAAATGGATATTCAAAAGTACAGGGTATTAGCAGCAGTAAGATGGCAGAACACTCAGCACCACTGAAAGTCAGGTCATTTTTTATTTAGGTACCTACCTATGGATTTGGATGCCTATTTTCAAGTACTAATATTTTTATGTTTCTCCTTAGCTAAATGTGACTGCATTTCTCTGACTTAGACCAGAACAGAGTTAAACAAGAGACTGATTTTTGTTGTATCCATCAGATAGCAACCATATGATCTATGCTTAGCACAGCTTGTTTAACACATGGGAGTGTTCATATCATCAGCAGCATCTGACTAACGAGACTTTTGCTTTTCCTCTTCTGTTAATATTTTGGTTCTTTCTTGGAATCTTTCCTTTGTCTCATTCCAAATATTGGACTTTCATATTAATTAAGTTACAATCAATCACACTATTCAAAAATATCCTTCTTAAAGTACCAACAGTACTCATGGTAAATAATGGAAATAGTTTAAGAACAAGTTATTCAGTTCCTGAGATTTTGTTCAAAACTGAATGGAGGATCAAATTTGCTTGAAATTTGTGTTCTGAAAGGCTAGGCCCCTCTGAGTTTATTACTTCATGAGAATTCCCATTAAAGTCAGTGGGGTAATACATGAAGACAGTTTTCCCCAACAAGTATGACGATGTCAGGCTATAGAACACAGTTTAGTGGAAAGCATTATAATGGCAAATTTATACATTTGTTCTCATATCATAGATATTCAGCCAAATTCCATCCCTCCTTTCTGTACCTTGGGGAGAGATGTGAAAATGGGGCAGGCCACTGCAGAAGTGCAAGCTAGACCTAATTATGGGGCTCCCCAAACATCCATTTATGTTGCTCTCCCGAAAAGTCTGCGTTAGCTGAAATTTCCTCATGGTTTATCCCAGTCCAGAACCAATTTAAAAAAAAAAAAAGTAGCGATCACTCAGGAATGCTTTAAAGTGTGATTAGAGATCTGTGTCATTGTGACATCTGTCTCTCCAGATACCAGATTCAAAGTGGATGGTTTGCGGGAGGATACAGAATGAGTTCTGTGTGATAGCTTTGAATCACACGGGCCCTGGACATCCCAGCGTACCCTCAAACTCTGTTGTTGCAAAGGATCACATCAGTATGTTTCTTTCACTGTTTAATGTCTAGTTTTCCTAAATATGTATGGTATGACCAGACCTATGCACTTACAACTGAAGTCTGAGGGAACATGGCACATTCTAACCTGCCTCAGCGTAATGAATTGCATTGTGTTTACAGCCTAACTAAAAGCTAAGGAAGGCCTTAATACCTGAAAATGTATCTGTAATTATAAGTACCTGTAAGTATGATATTATTCACATAAAATGTATAGCTATTAAGATAAGGACATAGTAAGGAATTTCCCTCTTAGGCAGTTGAGTATATGCCAACAGCAAACACAGATCAATATGATAAAGATGCTCTGAGGTCTAGATATTTTTAGTACTTGAGGTTCACGTATAGTTTGCCAAAAGCCATAGTGCAGTCATAGCACGAAAATCTTTTCTTATACAACACATCACTGTGCTCCCTGCATCAGTCCCCCACCAACCTATATAAAAGAAGGGAAAACTCTTGCAAAGTTTTCTTTGCAAAGTTTTCTTGCTGCCTATACTCTGGCTTTTAATACTAGATTTTTAACTAGAAAGAATTTATTTTTAGCTAGAAAGATTTTGTGCCTAATTCTGGACTGATCAAAATCACAGCCAAACTCCAAAGGATTACAGTAGCCTCAGAAATGCTGAGATAGGCAACTTTTATTTTGTACCAGTTACAGAGAATTCTTACTCTATATGGCCATATAACCAAGGCATTTTAAAACCAGAATGCTGTCAGAAGAGATCAATAAATAGCTTAAACTACTGATGGTAAGGAATCTTGTAATTGTTACAGGAGTGGGCCTCAGTAGCTGCACATAATTTAGAAAAAAATAATTTGGCAAAGTGCATAAGCCAATATAACTAGAAAAAAAAGAGAATTCTTCAGCTTGTATGTAGTAGATGAGAGCCTTGAGGTTAAATAGTTACTCAGATGAGAAAGCATTCAGGTTCCTTTAAATCAGAAGACAACACAAAAACAATTTAAAGCCTGAAGCTATGATTCTCCTCCTACTTGAAGACTTGCATTATTCCACATTAAGCCTAGGAGAATATGTTCTATCCATTTGCACCATATTTCTCATGACTCTCTGTGCTCAAATAAGTATTTCTGCAAAGCCATTAGCATCATGTTTGTCACGCCATGCTGCCCTGATTCACTTAATTCTTTTTTACCTTTCATTTTTTTATTTTGGCATTTTAGCTGAGACTTTCAGAACAGAATATGGACTGGGATACCCAACTCCCTATTCATTTGATTCAAAACTTGCAGGTATTTTTGAATATCCTATCTTTTGCTCTTCTGAGAGATTATGGAGACATAACTAGACTGGCTGCAAGGTGGACCTAAAGAGCAGAAAGCAAGATCTGACATATAACTGTAAGAAGAATGATTTATTAAACAAGAAGAGACACAAAACACCCAAAGCCATACAAGACAGGTTATAGGAAGAGCTGGCTAGGAAGAGATGCAAACAAACTGTTAACACATAGACACCTCTCCCAAACATATGTGGAGAATCAGTGGTGGTCAGTGCTCATAGAAGGTGACCTTTCCAACTTAATTCAGATGGTTCCAGGTCAAATGCTGCTAGGACTTTTCTTAAATGGCCAGCCTTGGAACAGGATCTACATATTTGTGCAGCCGTTTGAGGAACTGTGCTCTCTGTTGTACAGAATTTGCTGAGGTCCTTCTGCTCCAAAAACTTGCAGGTTGGGCATTTTGAAATAGAGATAGCTAACGCCTGTTCTTCGCACATACAAAGGTAGGCTTGAAGATTGGCCTGGTGTTTGGATGAACTGTGTACAGTAGTGTCACAGCTCTCCTAAAGTCTCAGAGCCTCCAGGACTGGTGAAGGGCCTCTATGTGGTTGATTTTTCCAACTCCAGCATTTCTGTAGCCTGGGAGGAGCCGGAGATGTGCCCTCAGGATACGTATTATAGATGCAAGCTGAGGACACCAAGGAATGGACAAAATGTGTCAAGATCCCAATCTCTTGTACCAATTACACTGTGGGAAGCCTGCAGGAGAGGCCAAGATATTTTCTTCCAAATTCGAGCGGTGAATGAAGCTGATGTGGGAGAAACAGCGGAGTTACAGGAAGGAATTCTAGCAACGCCATCTCTAGGTAAGACCTGCAGGATCCTTCCAACTTGAACTCCCATCTCTCATCTGTTTACAAGGCTTTCAGTTATTTTCTGTGTGTGTGTGTGTGTGTGTGTGTGTGTGTGTGTGTGTGTGTATGTGTGTGTGTGTTTTTAAACAGGCATCATTTTGTAAAGGGTTATCAAATTCATCTTGCACAAAGGAATGTTCAGTGTCACAGCTCAGCTGCTTTTGCTGAGAGGAGATGGAGGGCAACACAAGCTCTGCAGTTCCTGAGCCAAATTAAAATCATTCTGTCATCCTTCTTGCTAGGGCTGAGCTGTGTCCTGAACAGGTATTCTAGGTATAATGGAAGTTGTTTAGTCCACTTTTGACTGCCTACATTAGGCACGTGGTTAAAGAGACCATTGCTGGAAAATTCTCCTCATTTCTGTCATGGACGCTGTTTGTCTGAGGATGGGTTAGATGTGTAGGTATTACAGTAAATAAGTGCCATTTGTTGTAAAAACAGTGGTACTGAGGCAGAATTAGAGTTCTTTCAGGTGTTTGACTTGAATGAAATGAACAGTCAGGTGCCAGTGTGCTAAGCTTGGAATGGTGTTATCAGGAATTATGCTTCAAAGACACTGATTGTGTCTTTATAATGAAGGTATCAAGACCTGCCATGAAATCCCTAGCTTATTATTCAAGGTAGCAAATTATTTAAATCTTTACTGTTTAGGACTTTACAAGTACTTCACTATTAATTAGGAAATTCAGGCTTTTCACGTCTAGGATGCTGCCAGGTGACAGAGCATGGTGCTGACTGCCCTAAGTAGCAGTAGCAAGAGGAGATATACGGTTCATGAGTTGTGCTTTATAACACTGATTTTTATAGGGTAGAAGGACATTCAGGCTTGTCTAAGGAAATCTCAGAAGGCAACATCCATGTGACCAATACAAAAAGCAATTATTTCTCTTCTCAGTTTGGAGCTACAAACCAGTCTGTGCAACACACCTTTTTGTTACCACATCTCTGAATAGAGAAACATCAAACAAATCCTAGAGAGACTGTAGGCTCCACACAAACTTCTCTGGCGTGGAATGGCATCATGCAGTGCTGTACTGAACAGGGTAAGTTTCATAGGAAATAATATGAAGTTGCTTATGGCGGAAGGTGGACAGCATGGACAGCAATCTTAAAATCAGCTGATGAGGCATTAAGGTTGCTCATTCTAATTCCTTTTCTTTGTTCTCATTCACTTTTTATATGAACAATTTTTAAGTGTTCTTGTTCCACCAACTTCCTCACCAGAAATTGGCTTGAATAGGTGCTCACCAATAAGCTGTTGATTGCTGAGGCATGAATGTTTCTCTTCTGATAGTACAGCTATTAGCAAAAGGACTGGTGAAGTTGCTGTCAGCCTACTGCAACCCTTATACTAACTGCCTTCTGCTGAAACAGTTTGAGAGTTTCTTCCAATCTTGGTCATTTACTTCTCCAAGCTTGACTCAAGAGGCAGACTAAAGAAGAATGGCTTCACTTTTCTGTGTGTTCTCTAATTTTTATATATATTTTTTTTCCACCTCTCTTTGTCTTGTTTTTTTCTTTTAGCCCCCTCCCAGGTTTGATCTGACTACAAGTCTAAAGAGCCACATGGTAGTTCATGCTGGGGCAGCACTATGCATTCATATATCTTTCCCCATGAGCTTTTCTGTGTTGTGTCCTGTCACAGGAGAAATCATGTATTTATAATTTTCTCAGGGGCCAGGTGCAATACAGCTACAGGCTAGGGAGGCTGCAGTTGTCCTTTGGCCTGTTTCTTATGAGCTGTTGCTTTGTTTTAAAGGAGGTTGGCTGTGGGAGAAAACCCGTCAGTGCTTTAGATTCATGAAGTCCCACATAACTGCTCACTTTTTTTTAGAGCTAGATTTTTTTGTAAGCATCCCTGGTGATGGTTAGGATGGAGGGACTTCTGTGAATGCATGTTTTTCAGCTGCACAATGCAGCCCTCTGCAGGATGGAGCAAGTGTTGAGCAAACCACAAAACATGGGGGAGCTCTCTGGTTTATCTCGAGAAGCAGAATTTTACAAGCATAGTTCCTGCT